GATCCACTCGGTCCAATATGATATACTTATCTATGATAATAAATATTGGCAATTAATTTCGCTTTTTTTGCTTCTTAACCCATATATTTTGGGCTTTTTTTTATCCATTAAACATTATTTTAATCTTTGAAGGTATGCCACGACCGCACCAGAAAATTCCTGGTCCAAGAAGAAGCTGAAAGTGAGAAACATTCTGCTCATAGTTCTGGGATGTGTTCTACTTTTAGCTCTTGCAGTGGGAACAGCCGTTGGCATCGTTTTACACACACAAGGTAAGTTGCTTTTTAAACGGAATGCCAGTAATTAAGTCCGATTTAAAACAAAATGAATACTAACAAAAAATTTCAAGGTTTTGTCCTATACATAAGTTTTATAAATTGAACGGTGCTTAAGGTTTTACTAATTGTCCCATGCTTAAGGTTTTATAAATCGTTCTATGCTTCAGGTTTTATAAATCGTTCTATGCTTAAGGTTTTATAAATCGTTCTATGCTTAAGGTTTTATAAATCGTTCTATGCTTAAGGTTTTATGAATCGTTCTATGCTTAAGGTTTTATAAATCGTTCTATGCTTAAGGTTTTATAAATCGTTCTATGCTTAAGGTTTTATAAATTGTTCTATGCTTCAGGTTTTATAAATCGCTCTATGCTTAAGGTTTTATAAATCGTTCTATGCTTCAGGTTTTATAAATCGTTCTATGCTTAAGGTTTTATAAATCGTTCTATGCTTAAGGTTTTATAAATTGTTCAATGCTTAAGGTTTTATAAATCGTTCTATGCTTAAGGTTTTATAAATTGTTCAATGCTTAAGGTTTTATAAATTGTTCTATGTTTAAGGTTTTATAAATTGTCCCATGCTTAAGGTTTTATAATTTTTCCTATGCTTGAGGTTTTATAAATTGGTCTATGCTTAAGGTTTTATAATTTGTTCCATGCAGAAGTTATATAATTTGTTCCATGCTTAAGGTTTTATAATTTTTCCAATGCAGAAGTTATATAATTTGTTCTATGCATAAGGTTTTATGAATTGTTCAATGCTTAAGGTTTTATAAATTGTCCAATGCTTAATAGTTTTGACACTTCTGTCAAATCCTACACACTAAAGTCATATAAAAAATATACAAAGCGAAACTGCCCTTCCACGCATTTATAAAAATTAAATAGAGAGCTTGTGTTACAATTCAAAAGAAGGTGTGCTTTTTTCGCATTAAATTTGTTTTTATGAGCAATATTTAAAGAAATTTGAAAAATTTCCAATATGAAACGAAATTGTAAAGCCCACTTAATGAGTCATTTGAATTTTTTCGTACGTGCATTCGAAAAGTTGAATTTTTTCGTACGTGCATTCAAAAAGTTGAATTTTTTCGTACGTGCATTCAAAAAGTTGAATTTTTTCGTACGTGCAATCGAAACATTTGAATTTTCATACATTTATGAGCTTTCGAAACACTTGAGGTAACTCTTAGACCGAGTTTGTCAACCTAAACCAATTATTTATGTTGACGCACATGACGTATGTGGTCTCGCATATTTACTCCTGTTCGGTGAGCTTAGCAGGAAATTCAAAATTTTATGCTTTTTTTTTTTACAATTTTCAGAGCTTTAAATATCTACAAATAGCGACCTCAATTTTCAACGATTTTCTTTTATTAACATTTCTATTTGAAGCATTATCATGCATGGGTGGCTTTTGGAATGTTTATATTATGCAGCTATGCTCAAATTGAAAAGCGGATAACATAATATCACTGACGTTTATTACCCTATAGATGGGGCGTTTATGAACTTTTGAATTATGGCGCTATTTTAAATACCAAAAACAGTTTCATTATTTATGGGTGAAAAAATTTGAAATTAATTTTTAAAAAGTCAGTCTCAAAAGTTGAAGATGCAATTCTATCAAAACATTATTTTTTACTAACTTATTCTGACAAAAATAATGTGTTGCGGATTTTCGATAATTTTCGGTGACTGGACTTTATTTAGAATCACAAGCAAATTTCCAAATTGCATCTTCTTTTGTGGAGAATCGTTCATTATTTGTCATATTATTTCAAATACTGGATTTTAAAATTTTTACTATCGAAAATGAACTTTTATCATTCAATTCGGTCAATCTTCTTTTGATATTAGAAATCCTTAGGAATTTTAATAATCCAAAATCAAATTTTGCATTTTCTTACAAAATATAAAATTCTAATCTTCTTTTCCTATGAATTGCCGGTTTCAAGTTTACCTTCAGACATGAAGTCATTTTGTACAATGTTTATTATGTACGCTAGCTGACCCGAGCATGAAAACACAACACCCACTATCCTCTCATAATGTCATTTTCATGTGTACAACAATAGAAAAATAAAGGCGTAAATAGCGCGCCTTGTCGTACTCCGATGTTAACGTAATAAAATGTTGCTTATTTGATAAAATATGACAATAAACCCTTTCAACTACTTCGAGAACACTCAGAGAGGATGCCGAATTGACAAACAGTCGCGGTATAAAAAAAATGTAGGTGATCTCATATTTAAAAATATTTTTAGCGACTATGATCTCACTTGTAAACATATTTTTCGCATGTGAAATATTTCCCTTATTTTCAACAAAAAACAAAATTCTTGAATAAGCTATAAAAATTTAAGGAAATGATTTCCTGCACTATTTTGTGGACACAGAAGACGTTTTAAAAATATATTTCATTTCGGTGTTTTTATGCAAATTGTTTTGTTCAAGTTTTTCAAAAAGTTATACACTAAAAAGAACTTGATAAATTGGAACATAGAAAATTTAAAACGTCTCGTGTCACATTTTTTAAACTGTCATCACGCTCTGATGAAGAAAAGCGCATGCCCTAACTGATTTCGAAATTTTCCCCGATTCAAATTTGTTATGCGTCACATGACTTGAATTACGTACATACGAATAATAAAATCCGCCATAAATTGTTCATGAAATACACACAATAACTTTAGAAAATTCTACAAAATAAATCTATAAAATTCTAGAGAATAAGTTTATAAAATTCTATATAATAACTTTAGAAAATTATACAGAATAACTTTAGAAAATTTATAAAATAATTTTAGAAAATTATACAAAATAACTTTAGATAATTCTACAGAATAACTGTAGAAAATTATGCAAAATTATTTTTTTGTATTTCCTGTTTAATAACGAATTTTATTTTTGTTTTGCAGCATCATTCGCTTCTACGTTACCACCTACAACTCCGTCCACTACAGTTTCAGGTAAGAAATAGAGACGAGCAAAACCTTGCAGTGTGCAATGAGAGAATTTGTCTAGGAACGTGGCATTGACCTGTTGAATTTAGATTTCCAATTGTCAAGGGATCCAAACTCTTTGTAGCACACAAGGTCTCGGTTTCTTGATTTTTGCCAATATTGTGGTCTGTAAACTACCAAAACAGCTAGTGGTCAAAGGGAGGTAATTTTCAATTCAGTGTGGTCTTCCAATATTACAAAAAACTTATCCAAATAATATCAATTTAAAAGGTAAAAAAGAAACTGGAAAAAAATTTCGTATTTTTCTCTCTTTGTTAATCTATGCAAAACCGTTATGTTCAATTGATACTTTTTTTGTCACAACTACAATAGGTCTATTCCAAGAGCAACGTTTTTATCTTGAGCTCTAATAAGAATTAGTGAGGTTTCGCATTGAAAAATGAAACGAAACATTCAGAGGTCTATTCAATATTAGATTTGAATGTGTGAGGTGTCCCATGGCAAAAAATGAAACAAAATATCTGTATTTTAATCAGTTCAGTATGAGTGAGAAAATGAATTATCCATAGCACATTTCAATCAGGATTAGAATAGTGACCCATAGAAAATAAATTAAACAAAATACTTCAAGTGTATTCAATCAGATAAGAATGAGTGAAGTTTCCCATAGAATAAAAAGAAACAAAATATAAGATGATGCTTAATTTTGTTTTTATTTCAGATCATATCACTTACACCGGAACTCTGAGACTATCACAGCCATGGCCTGATTCAGAAAACACTTTGAAATATAACTTCACACAAGAGGTACGCTTACTACTGTAGCATTTAACACTCCCCGCCCCACCCCCACCACCAAAACTAAGTCTAAGCTAACCAACAAAACTTATAGGCCTTGGAGTCCAAGATTTCGTGAGGGTAGAAGCGTTGGCCGAGCAGACACTGATGATTGCGATTTTTTATATAGTCAACTCTCTTGTAATTCGAGGCCAATTTTTAAATTTATTCTAATTTTTAATTTTTTTTTAATTTTTGATTAAATCTATCAGTTTTTAATTTTATAATTTATTAATCTATTTTATTTATTTATTTATTTATTTTATTTTATATAATTTTATTTATTTTTTTTTTTTTTTTTATATTTATTTATTCATTTTTTTATTTATTTTTTTATTTATTTTTTTATTTATTTTTTTATTTATTTATTTATTTATTTATTTATTTAT